TGTGAATGTGAGTGTGCTTGGTTGTCTGCCCTGTGATGGACTGGCGACCTGTCCAGGGTGTCCCCTGCCTTCGCCCTAAGTCGGCTGGGTTAGACTCCAGCCCCCCACGACCCTAATGAGGATTAAGTGTTGTATAGATGATGGACGGATGATTGCTTTTTATGACAGACTTATAAAAGTCATTGGAAACTCGTAGCTGCCATGAAATGCATAGTCTTTACAAGAAAAAACTTTTGTTCACAACTAAACTTGCTTAAGCTTAATTATAATTAATAGGACACTTTGTTAAATATAACAGGATATGTTTATTTCATTTGATTTGAAGTTCATGGTTTAATAATAGTGACCTTACTGGGACATTTGCTGGCCTGCTCATATTAACAAAGGAAAGACACTGCAGTGGTAAAAATAAATCAGGGCAACAGTTCTTTTGGAAATTAGTAAAATCCTGTGAGCGTAGCAATGAGGGCCAAAAAATGCAGATGAATGCAGCAATAATTAGGAGTCGCCTTTGCTGCATATTGCTCTGTTCACATATTTTTGTGTTTTCAAGGGACAAATCAAAGCTGCTGGCCCAGTTTGGCCACCCGAGATGATCTGTGGAAGCCATGTTGACTGTTTTTTAGCGCCTTCAGAATATGCATCGTGTGACATCAAAGAAAATTTTTTTGTTCTATGACACAAGTAATACATGTCACCAGCATGTCGATGATCGCTTGTTGTAAAGCGCTTTATTGTTCTGCCTTTCTGCACTGCTGGCACCTAAACAAACATCTGTTCAGCAGATGGTGTCCTTAAATGTTAATTACTTACCACAGTATTAAACGCTTGCAGATAAATGAACAATCAAATCTTCAGTCCTGTAAAGGATAGGGAGGAGAGTCAAGAGAGGAGAGTGTCAGGCGAGAGAGGGGGAGAAAAAAAAACAACACTTTAGACAAGCGGTATTGCTTTTAGCTGGCTGCTGGAGCTGAAAAATAGGAGCGTTGTATTATAATTGCAGCCTTTTCAAAAACAAAAAATACCATCAAAAACATTTTTCTCACTCTGTCGTTCATCGCAAATTGTTGCCTTTGTGTTATAGTTTTAGACCGCCTTTAATACCGGCGGCGAAAGAAAATTAAAAACCAAGAGTGGTTAATAGAGGTCGTCCAATTGTCAATCACATGTCGGGAGTAGCACTCAACAGAGAGAGAATAGGAATCCTTTTGCTCAGAAGAAGCTGTTGAGTAATTGGAGTGTGAGCAGTCTGCCCCCATTACTACATAATTGTTAACCTTCATCTGACCCTGTTCGCTCCCTATTAATTAAAACAGGCCTAATCCTCCTCATCATTATCCTCTAGCCTCTGTTTTTCTCCACATTGACTTTGGGGTCAGGGAGCAGTCCAGAACCATCCCTCCACACAAATTAATACACACTGACGCAGTGTGAGCCATTTTCAGGGTCATGCGATACATCCGTCTCCTCGCTGACCTTAAGAAAGGCAAAATTCTTCATGCATAATTTTATAGCTACTAATATCGACTGTTTTTGATCGCAGGCCAATTCCCCGGCCTGTGTTTTGATATTAATTAATAACCGCTTTCCTCACAGTACAGACGAATGTGCCCTGTGGGGCAAATCAGTAATAATAAAGTGATGTGGATTTAGATGCTTAAAATATGGAAAAAGGGTCTTAACTGCATACACGCATTGATATATAGATGTACTTTTCCCATTTTTGGGGGCCACAGAATGTTATCACTTACGTTTCTGATGTGTTTTGTTTTTTCTTTTAACAACTGTGACAGCAGCAAGATGTGAAGCAGAATGTCAGTGTTGATGAAAACTCTCCATCTCCATCTTTATATCTGAACTTTAATCCCATATGTTGTCTGTATATTGGGCTGCAGTGGTTAGCACTGTTGTCTCGCAGCAAGAAGGTCGCCGGTTCGCGTCCCGGTGGGGGCACCGGATTCTTTCTGCGTGATGTTTGCATGTTCTCCCCGTGCAGCGTGGGTTCTCTCCAGGTTCTCCGGCTTCCTCCCACACAGTCCAAAAACATGTTGAGGTTAATTGGTGATTCTAAATTGGTAGGTGTGAGTGTGAGTGTGCTTGGTTGTCTGTCTCTGGGTGTGGCCCTGCAGTGGACTGGCGGCCTGTCCAGGGTGTCCCCTGCCTTCACCCTGGGTCGCGACCCTCGTGAGGATTAAGCGGTGTATAGATAATGGATGTCTGTATATTTCATATAAACATGGTTAATCCAAGGTTGTTCTCAGAGAAGAAAACTCTTGATTTATAGCGTTAGTTAAAGAATGTTGACACTAACTGCCTCTCCACTGCTGATGTGACACTGCAAAATGGTTTATTCTTCTACTAATGTGCATTTGCAGAGAATATGGAATGATATACAAGAACAGAATCTACCTTCATAGGCTACAATAGCTACTGTTCCCACTTTAAGCGTGGCTGGAAACTTGACATTAACACTCATATTGCTGGAAAATGCAAACCCCTCAGGAACTGTCTGGCTTCCCCTTTCTGCCAAATTCCCACCTTCTTACACTTTCGCTTCACTTCCTCTCATCTTTCATTTCGCTTTCTGTCCATCACCCTCCCAGGCCGCCTTCCGCACAGATCTCTCCGTACTGCTGGACCAGGTCGGGGCCGGAAAGGAGTCCCTCAGCTTCATGAAGCGCAGAATCCGCCGCCTCACACAGCAGTGGGCGACGGCCGCCAACCGTCTGGATGCAAAACTGGAGCAGCGGTGGAGGGACCAGAAGAAGGTAAGAGAAGAATGGAGTAGAGCAATCACACTTCCCACCATTGTCAATACACACCAACACAATAACACCTACATGAAGGTAGGAGAAGGAGGAGGGACAACACAGCTGTGGAACATGAAAACACACACACAGCACCTGATTAAACCAGCTTTAGTATATTTGCAGGAATTAAAAGATGCAGTAGATCGACAGCTTTTCTAGATGTTTCTTCACGGCTCTCCATTTGAATGACAATAGCTGTTCAGGAAAGGCACAGAGGAGGTAATGATAGGTTGTCGTCCATCAGTGCAGCCTGTGCTTTTTTTTGCGTGCAACTGTCTTAATGTGTCTGCACAAAAATATTCCTCAAAAAATATGCATTACTGGCAGCATCATGTTATAAAACTGGTCGAAGCCGAAGCTGTGCAGGATCCTGCTAGTAGCCATTTGCGTCAAAGATGCGAGAGGAAGCCAGAGATTCACGGATAAATGGGAGAGAAGAAATGAAAGTGAGTAGGAAGGTAAGGAATGATGTTGAGGAAAGATGAGGATTATAAGGAGATGTCAGGTATGGTCTGCTGCTGGAGGGAGAAGATGAGAGTGGAAGGACAGGAGAGGGATGGATGATACGCTCGAATATGGAGGAGGAAAGGATTGATGAAGAGAGAGAGAGAGGGGAGTGAGGCGCCACAGAGATGAGCTAAACAGTGGGACTGTGGAGAACCCAAGGTGCGTGTGAATGTGGGGTGTTTAAATTGGTTTAGAATTAATTTAACAACGCGCTTTTCGAAATGTCAGCGACAGCGCTTTGCGATTAAAACGTCAAGACTCTCAGACATATTTCGCGGCGTGTAACCTTCCCCGAGCTACTTCTTTACATCGCTTACTTACCGCATCTCTCGCCCAGCTCATAATCGCCCGGTTAAGAAAATAACGACAAATGAACGAGGTAATGCGAGAAGGCAGACGAAGCGCGCAATCTGCCTCTTCTTTTCCAAAATATTTCTCTCTCTCTCTCTGCCCCCATCTCTTTCTAAAATAAGTTAACAAGGGTGAAAATAGTCCTCTGTCACCGTGATTGATGTTCTCCTTTCTTGTACTGCTCTGAGGGGATTTGTTATCCTCTATCACGGCTTCGTGGCTGCTTGAACTGCCTATACGCCTTACAAAGTGCTGCTGCTGCTATCGCAACAGCAGATGTCCTGGTGTTTGTAAGAGTTAGCCTTGGCTGTCGAAAGCTGTTTATCACAATAATTAGAGACGGAAGTAAGAAACGTGTGTGTTTGTGTGCTTGCTGTCAGTCTGTGTGGGTCTGCGCGTATGCTTGACTGCTAATTGGATATCATGGCAATAAAAGCCAATGCCAGAATCCCATACATTTTATTTAAAAAAAAAAAAAAACAGATCTCAGCCCGTGCCAGACAAATTTTCTATTTTTGACGCTTAACCCGCTTCCCTCACAGGGAGATTCATTTTCACTTGAACGCTGGAATAAATTCACATCACTTCAGCTTTGGAAACGGAGCCACCGTTTGATTTTTAATTAACTCTGATCCCCTAAAAAAAACAACGTCTGATGCGACTTGACCACAGCCCTGCCCTTTGTCTCCGAAACAATCCCTTTCTTCCAGCAGCAGCAGCTTCGGCATTCTACTCGAGTTCTGTTGCTATTCCAATGGGGTTGATTCATTTCTGTTTCCTTGTTTGGCTTTTCTCTTTGATTGTAAGCAGAGTGGATGTTTACTCAGAAAAAGAATAAATTAGCAGAGCAGCGGGTATGGAGGCAGGAAAGATCAAGAGGAAGAGGGAGAGTGAGAGGCGAAGCAATATGATCCTTTTTAACTGTCGCTGGCAGACACAAGGACAGGAAGTGGTGCAAGGTGCGAGTGTGTATCGGAGTGACTGTGGACACTTGAAATGCAATTCTGAAGGGTTTTTACCTTAAAGTCACAGCTGAAGAGATTTTTTGCAGTCAAGTATATTTGCGAGTGAGTGATCTTTTGAGTGAGTGAGCGAAAGTAGAAGGATGCCTTAAATATTCTGGGAAATCTCTTGTGTTTTTTTTTCGACTAATCTTCCAATTTCCTTCGCGCTTGTGAGGTTCAGAGAAGAAACAGTCAACCTTTTGCTGTACTTTGCTTTCAAAGCAGCAACATATTTAAGAGATTTCCCCCCCCAGTGCCTTCAAGCTTAATCAAAGGCCAGGGTCAACCTATTCAGCCATTATTACGAAGCTGAAGTTGTTTTTTTTTAGTTTTTATTTGTGGAACAAAATGCTGTTCCGCTTTTTAGTCATAAAAGGACACACAGTCTGCTAAACGGTTGCATAATGAACGACTAGATAGTACGTATTCAAAGACCTGCCTGTCGGGTGCTCGTTTTAGCATCTCAGCCGGTGACTTTGTGCGCTTCTCGGTGAACGTCGAGCATGCACGTTTAGCGAATTTGTCAGCATTTGCCAAACCGTAAATTACCCGTCTCCCTGCGTCTGCCCTCTTGAGGGTTAATTGACCTATGACTGACGAACTGCAGACAGTGGAGGAGATTAAAAGGATAGGTGAAGTGAGGAGGCGGATGTAAGAAAAAGGAGGAAAAAAAAAAAGCAAGGAGGAAGCAGGTTGTGTGACAACGAGGAGGGGAGGGGGACGTGAGTAGAAATAAAAAAAGGGGGAAAAGTAGTCTGTAGAGCCATGAAAGAGGGATTAGACAGAAGGTGAAATTAAGGGTATAGTGGGGATGGTTGTCAGTGCCAGCTCGTGTTGCCACCCGTGGCCTTCCGTCGGACAGCTGCGACCTTCTTAAGGGCCATGATGCATGAGAGAACAGGGTCTCACACACACACACACCGAGACACACATGCATCCATGTGAGGTCCTGCGTTAACAGATGCCGAGACGAGCATTAGCATTCTTGTGTCGTTAGCCTGTTAGTGATGAGTGGAGCAGAGCAGAGCACTGGAGTGGTACCACATACTTGAGAGGCCACTTCTACCCTCCTGCTCTCCGACGTACGCACCAAGGACCTTCCAAGGATTTTACTTAGAAACACGCTCACATTACATAAAACATTCCTAACATCGGCGCATGAAAGGCGGCGGATTTACTTTTCCCCTGTTGTGCAATCACACAGCATCCGGCACGAGGAAGATGTTGGGAAAACACCTTGATTCAAGTTTTTAATGAGATGGGTGATGCGTGAACACGGGGGTGTCGTAAAGGTGAGCGAGCGATTGTACCGCTGTTTTAGTCTCAGTGGGTCTTTATGTTCAATCCTCGTGGGATGTTAAACAGCAGAAAGTAGCTTTAGATCTTTTTGAGGATCCCCCGAGCTCACGGCGAGCGTTTACGCGCAGGATTTCTGACTGGAGTTCATTGATGTATGTCGACGCGAAGCAAATACACACAAACAAACCAAAGCAAACAAAATCCAAGACACACACACACACACACACACACACCATCTGGGAGCACCATAAGTCCACCGAATAAAGAGCTCCACTCTCTCGCGTGTGATTCGGTTCCCGAGGGAGGCAGCTGGCCGTGACAAAGGAGTTCATAAGGAAGTAAAGCTTTACCTTCGGAATCACTCCGTCTGTTGCTGACTTCCCATCGTGTGCCTTTTGCTGCTTCTTCATCTTCAGTCCGTGGGCAAATATGCAAGATTGTCCTTTCGGTGAGAGTGTGTTTGGTTTATCTCTATCGATTCCATCCCTGTGATATGAATTTTACTCTTCCAGTGTTGCTTTTCATTGTGCTTCCCCCCTTTAACTCTGCTTTCATACAGAGGAATTAACATTAATAACTGGAGGTGAACGCTGTCTATTAGAAAGAACTCCCTCCTCAGCAGACTGGATCGTGAGCAAGTTGCCAGGTTCTACAAAGCACCCTTTTTCTCTTCCTGTTAGCTTTGCATTTGTGTGTGGATGCCAGTTTGGAAAAAAAACAAAAATCCAGTCCACAGTTATTCAGCTCTGCAGCCACTGTGTGATATTCCTCATATTTATTTAACAGTTTTACTTGTGCTGCCAGTATGTGAAATTGGGCTCCTTCTGTCTCCATTTTTTATATTTTTTTTTGCGTGGTTGCCAGTGTTTGTGTGATACACCCTATAACCAACACCACCGCCACCTCCAAGCCAAGGCAGTGAACGGTATTGGTGCCATGTATTCTCACTCTTGCCATCTGCCACCCAAACTGTAATTAAATTTCACTTATCTTTTTTTATGAAGCAGAAGTTAATAGAGCAGGTTTATTAAATCAGGGGATTTTTCACGCCAGCTGGAGTCTCGCTGGAGCTCGACTCTGCCGCATGCACATCATTGTTCAGGGTTTTATGCACAATTTGTACATGTGAGGGCATCAGTAAAATGACTTTTAGTAGTGTGCTGGATGGATTTAGTTACAACACACAGCTATATATAAATATAACTGATATATTCATAGTTTTGTTGGTGCAGCTCCCCTCATATTAAACCGATACATAAAAGCATTTAGCAGCTGAAGAGCCAAAAATATGTCCCTTAGGAGGGGGTTGAGACCAAAACAAGAGCAAAAAGAGTATATTTGTGACCTATTTTCATGCAGTGGATACAAACATGGCTCAAATTGAAAGCCAATTTTGCTCCACAATTGCTAGATGCTTTGCAAAAACCTGAATAAAATATGATGACATGTCAATGTTGTACTCACAACCTTTTCCCACTTGGTCCAAATGATGAACATAAATTATGATATAACCGTTATTGCAGGTCGATATCCAGCAGACGTTTTTTGTCATTCAGACACCATGTTTTATACGGTGCTTCATATGTAAAATCAGTATGTTTGTTGTGTGCAGGTGCCTGTTTTGGCTCCTTCAACATGAACGCATTGTGGCATAATTAAGAGGGGGAGAGCGAAATAAGAGAATGCACCCGCTTCTAAACAAGCTCTCGGAAGCTTTTAATTAATACCTCCAAAGTTAAGAGTTGCGAAAGTGCAGACGCAGGACACACTCATGCACTCGCATGTAAGTGGAGTCAGAGGCATATAATGAGAGAGAGAGAGGGAGGGAGACGGTAAGCAATCGCCGTGAAAACTTTCTGGCAAACTCTTCTCAGTTGGCCTTAAGCTCATTATGTATGTTGCATGGTCAAAGTTGTGGGCTCCATTTGCCAGCAAAAGCAGCTGGAGGTGTTCATGCTGCGTTAGTTAATCAGGATTACTCAGCAGTGCAACGTTTGGACATGGCTGTGTCTAATCCGCTGTGAAAAGTAACGTGTTGCTCATTTCCCGGTGGGTTGCACTAATTATGCATTAGCTAGGTGGACATGCATGACAGGATTGCGGCTTGTTGTATGTGCAAAGTTGTACAACAATGTCGCATTTAAACCGTGACGATTCCTTCCACGTGCCTCATGCGATGTTTTGAAACAAAGGAGATTTTCCCTTGGGATTGCTGGGAGTTTGCTCCAGTGGTTATCTGTACGGGCATACGTTGCATATGGAATGAGCTGCGCAGTAAAGTACATAATGCTGGAGTTTTAGCCTGTGCATGCTATTCCATTGGAGCATGAGGAGATAATTCATAGGGGATTTCAAAGAATTACTTTTCAGTTGCCATAATTTCCTTTTCGAAGAGTCTGAAATTCTAATGATTCTAATCCTCAAAGTCATTAAAACGGTTTGCACAGCAGAAGCTTAACTTTCAGAGAGCTTAACTTTATTCAGTGTGCACAAATATAGAAATAATATAATAAAATTGGGTTAAATTTAATGTACTTTATCCTTAGCATGATACACTTTGTGTGTATATTAATTAGACTCCCGTCAATATAGATGTTGGCGGTAAAGTTTGTTATTTTATTCTTTATGCTACGTATGTTTTAGGTCTCATGTTGCACACAGCAGCATCAGGCAGGCGTTTTGATCTGTCCTAGATTCATTCGGCAGCATTAAACAGTGAACCCAAACACACAACCGGAGTTGATCTTCGGCAACAAAAAGAACATGGCGTCCTGTAACAGATGTTACGGCTCCTGCAGAGCCCTGATCTCAACACCATGAAGAGACAGAAGGCAAAGAGAGACATCCTGAATCCACAGAAGATCCTTGAAAAACTACCAAGGAAATTTTGTACCATTTTGAAGGCAATGATTGGTCAAACCTCATATTGACTGGATTGAGTTGTTCTTTTTTCTGTTTGCTGTATTTTGTATAAAGTTGAGTTACATACAAAAACTATTCATAGCAGTGTTTGATGGCATCACTCTCACAGGACTGTGTGTTGTGGTACATGCTAAGAATGACTGGATGGTGTCAGGCTTATGATGGTAACTCACGGGGAAATTGAGTAATTATATATCTTGAACAGGATTTGTAAACCTGATAACCATAAATTCAGAACAAATAATACTAATGTATACACACATAATATCAAATGCAGTTACTGGACGTTTAAACGCTGTATGTTTGTAGAGGGTGTACTTAAGCCTGTTGATGGATTACTACGATTAACATCACAGTTTTAGATGCACTCACATGCTGATCTTGTATCTAAAGAAAAGTGTCTATCTTCTGTTTTATTGCTGTTTTGGTGGTAATCTTTATCAGATCGCAGCACCCACTTTGGATAGAGGAGCATGTTGCCAGAAACTAAATACAAAAATAAGATTGAAGTAGTAAGAAACTAGAATTTCTTTTTTTTTTTTTTTTACATTCCATGATGTTCTCAAGAGCAGCTTTTTGTGGACCTTCTCCACAGACCTTCATACGGAAGCCGAGAGCGGTCGTTTTCCGCTTCTGTTCTTTCTTCGCTGCTTTCTCGAGATAACGAGTTAATTTTCTCGGGATAACATGAATCGTTTTCTCGTGAAAACGTGATAATTGGTGTTTGTGTTTGCCCGCTCGTGCCCGGTCCAGGATGGGATCCCAGGTGTGTGGGACCTCCTACACGCCTGGGATTCCATCCTCAGTCACCACCGTCGTGCCCGGTCAGCTGTTCTCATGACACATCATGTCGGAGTTCCCGGTCAGCTGTCTATATAAGATGCGTCACACCAGGAAGTCCGACAACTTCTGATGAAGGCTGAAGTGACAGCAGAAACTGTCAACGGGATAATTATCTCGTTATCTCGAGAAAATGCCTTTTAAAAAAATGTGCGGCCATGACCGCTCTCGGCTTCCGTACCTTCATCTTAATTCCCTGCAACATTGAGTTCCCTGTCTGTTTTTTTCAGATCCTGGTCCATGTGGGCTTCCTAACGGAGGAGTCTGGAGATGTTTTCAGCCCCAAGGTGCTGAAGGGGGGACCTCTGGGTGAGATGGTCCAGTGGGCTGACATCCTGACTGCCCTCCATGTTCTGGGACACAATCTCAAGATCTCCATGTCTGTCAAGGAGCTTCAAGGGTGAGTCCTCTACCAAAGCAGTGCTGCGGTGTTTGACGTGTTGGTGACAGTTGGTTTTGTGCAAAGTGGTGATCCACGTTCACCCCACTGCTCCATCATCAAGGCCTTAATGTTAACATGTGTATGGAAAAGCAGTAGGTTGCATGTCTCTAGCTGACTCGCCGCTCATTAATACAGGGATTATTCAGACAAGGAGACATGTTTGCTTTGAGAGGTAAAGGTTATCGATCCGCAGTGTCAGTGAACTAACAGTTGATTATTTTAACCAAAGTGACCCTGCACCATTGTTTACTTTCTTCCCCTTGTATAAATTACTTCCAGCGATTTCACCATGCCACAGTTGTATTTTGCATCTTTGTGAGGAAGACTACAAATGTGACCCCTGATGACAGCTGTGCCAACAAACCGATGACCTTTTGCGGCCCTCTTGTTATCATCGTGCTCTTGGATTTTGTATTCCTGCACTCTAATTATACCTCATTCCCACTTAACCCACAGATTTAGGCATGAGGATGCTGAGGTCCTGTTGATTTATTTGTCGCTGTATCGATCTGATATTGACACGCTACCCGGCTTCCTGTCAGTGGGACTGCGATGGTGTGTCTTTTTTTTTATCCCGTGTCAGCATGCGCACATGTTTCTGCTGACGGATACAGCTGTAGAGCCAACACACATACGCCGGCAGACAGCTGGATGGATGTAAATCTGCCATGTTGGGAAAGATCCCTCAGGCTTGTTCTGTCCAATCTATGCAATCTACCTCGTGGTCGAGACTGAATAAATCACGGGAGGTTGTCATCTCCCATGAAGACGGATGGTTAATGCTATACAGCAGAATTATGAATAGGCATATTGTGCGAAGACGACTGAATCGTAGCGGGGCGACGTCTTTGTTCAGCCTTGATTGGCCCAATAGTCTTTGTCTTTCTGCCGTCGTTGATCACCGCGATGACACAGGTACAGGGTATAGATCAATATAATGATGCCTACAGAGACCCCGCTGTTCTCTGCATTTTAGACTGTGCCCTGCCCGCGACAACACTCACAAATCATAGAAGAAGCATTGTATTGACGCGCAGCCTTTGGCCGTCATTTTGCAGACATATAACACGTCTGCAGGGACCGGGGGAAAGTGGGAAAATCTTGTGGGGATTTTATACTTAAAAATGACTTAAGAGATGGCAGGGACATCCACAAGGCTGAGTTCGCTTGTCAGACTTGAAATGAATTTTCGCTGCATGCGTGTCGCCGTAGCGTCTTGGGACCTACATTATAAAATTGGTCTGTCTCAGAACCTGGGCTGTGATGTTTTAGGTGAATGTGCAGTATACTCTGGCATACCGGCATGAACAATTGTTTTGTACACCTTGCCCCCACGGAATGGCTTTGGGGGGGAAAAATGTGGCTCCTGAGTCAGTCCATTAAAGACACTTGTGTGAGAACTACTACATCAACTTTTGCCTTCTGATGTCCTCAGTGGAGAACAAAAAGGTTATGCAGCATGTCCAGTCATTTTTTTGTTGATGTATCACTTTTTGTTCTTACATCTTTCATTTCCTTTCGCCCATGCCTTGGGCAAGACAAAAACATTCAGAAGGTTGAGCAAAGTCGATAAGAAAGTTTGGCTTTCGCGGAGTGTGCTGACTTTTATCATCTACTTACTAATGTCTGTTATGTTTCCCTTAAATCTATTCAGGTTATTGATTCTAGTTTAGTTTTTTTTTTTTACTCACAGCTACCCTCAGGCTTTTACGCTTGTTACAATGAATCCGACACGTTTGCAAGTATTAATGTAATACTGTAAAAGGTCTATTCAGTAAGGCCATAAATTAAACTTAAAGCATAATGCACTCTTTTTAGCTTTTAGCGGCGTACTGATGCATAAAGTGCATTCTTGCGTTGTCGTGATGTGCAGTTCAAATAATATATTTAACAGCCGTATTTCTTGCCTCACGTCTAAGCACACAACTGTAGTGAAGTATTGGTTTTCTGTTTGTTGGCACTGTGATATATATTCAGGGGGTAAGAAACATTATTCCTCAAAGAATTAACAAATTCGAGTGAAAACACAAAACATCTGCTGCACTTCTTTGTTGTTTGTCTGCTTTAGGTTTGCACTTTCTGACTTGTGTGCATTCAACACCAGGTCATGCAGATACAGTTCTCACCAAAAGTCAGTGAACAGACAGGAAAGGGTTAAACTGATGACCTTGTACTCTACGTAACACCTCAAGTGTTAAATATAAAATGTACTTAAGATGCAAATCAACAAACACATTCAGAAAAAAATGTATTATTACTAGATTTATATTATTGCTGTGATTTAATAGTATTTCCAGACAGTTGTTTTGTGTTGATCTCATTGTTGCTGCTGATGTTCACTTGTTATGGTACCAACTTTTCAAAACTTCTGATATGTAAAAGTTCAGAATTTTACTTGATAGTTTAATTCTAAGTTTCACCTTTTTTTCTCTGCCATTTTCTGTTCTTATTCTTTTTTTAAACGGCACTCCAGTGTCTTATCAAAGCAGGACTGAATGATAAATCAATTTTAAATCAAAATTGGGCTTTAAAACAATGCAATTAGGGGGAAAAAAACAACAAAGCCTATGTTAGGTTTATGTGTTTATTTCATTATTATTGCTTTATTTAATCCAATAAGCCTTAATTAAATGACCTATTCAATTCAGTGTCAGATGCATCATTTTCTGATTGGAATAATTTTATGATTTATAACTATTATTTTATTTGTAGTGATGCGCTATATTAAAATTTCGGCCCAATACCGACAATCTGATGATGCAGATAACTGATATCACCGATGTCGATATTCAGTTTGTGTTCACACTGAAAAATGAGTATAAGTAAGCACCGTGAGAACTTGAAAGCTATTCAAAAGAAGCCCATACCAAATTAGACCACATAGTCTTATTTACTACCCAACAAAAGTAAAACAAATTTAAACATATTTAACTTTCAAGTCCAGAAACATTTAAGTAAAAACATCTGTGAAATAGCAGCAACATCAAATGTAGAGACGAAGGCTCTAATGTTAGACAATCATCAGTTTTCACATCAGCTAAATGTGTTCATCGGACCGATACTGATATATATCGGAAAAAAACACTAATATCGGCCGATACCGATGTGGTCGCCAATATATCGTGCATTTATTTGTCACACATTTTGTGGTAAGTTTCTATGTTTCTATGCCAATTAAAAAAACGAATAAACATAAATCTCTGTTTATTCAATTTCAACTTAAAGATTCCTATGTATAGGAATCTTTACGTTCTCATCCTTGGCTGTAGAGGAGTAAATATGTTGTGATAATATTGTGTAGTCGTGTTCTATCACATGTCTTAACTTGACTTTAAAAATGCGTCTACACAAATCAAATCACAATCACTATAAAATTTGCAATGAAATTTTTCACCTCTAGCACAAAAAAAAAAAAGGGATACAAAAAGCAGGAGGTTTGACATTTATTTTCTCTAAAGACCGATTATTAGATGGACAAAACAGGACGGATAAGCAGACAAATAAAGACGCAGCCAGAGACACAGATATAAATACAGAAAAACGGTCCGACAATCTGGACGGGCAGGCCGACTGAGACGAATGGTAAACCAGGCAGACAGACAACAATTGCCCCAAAGAGGCTGCTTAGTTGAAGTCGAGTCCAAACACAGATTTGGAAACGGCTTCACTTTCCTTTGGGCAACACTGTCCAACGAAACAAAGCTGAGCAAAAAGTGCCTCGGGTCCATCATTCTCCACAATTCCTCATCACCACAATGGTATGTGTGTGTGTGTGCATGTGTGTGGGCAAACAGTGTGTGCATTGCTGTCATGAGTCCATCTGAGAGTTGGGATTGGCTTAGGAGGAAGCAGAGGGTAGCTGTAATTGGCCACAGCGGGGATGATTAGGTCTAGAGTTGTGTTACTGTACATAAGATACACTCTGGTTTGTAGTTTCCAGTCGGCAGTGCGGTCAGGTGCCTGAGCGTTATTCACTAGAGATGCATGAAAAGAGCACATAGAGACATACTAAGGCATCGTGGATATAAACGAAAAGGGTTTCTCTCCACATAACTCCAACACAATAATTCTAATGTTGGTGGTGAAAAGTTCATTAGATTTTTGCTGTCCGTCTCCATTAACGTGTTGCGTCCTGCTGGTCATAATGACACAGGAATCATTCACCGTTCTGTGACAGACACATCATAGTCTCAAGGCTGCCACGGTGCAGATGGATGGATTGATGAGAAAATGTTCATTGGGAAGCCTGTCTGGGGAGAAAAATGAAGAAGGAAGGAGTACAGCAAAGTGCTGAGCTGGCAGCTGTGGAGTCGGGGCAGAGACTCTTAGTATTCAAATATGCTAATTTTTTTTTGGAAGGCTCACTGATAAATGCCATCCCTTTGTTTTGAATCTTGGACCGTCCTTCATTTATGCACAAAGCAGAAATTTTTACACCGTTTACCGCCATTTACTTGCCCACACACCGCAGCACACAAACCTGAGGTAATTCACTACATGTTTTTTTTTTTTTTGCATTTCGTCGTCTCTGCTGAGTGTGCACTTCTCACAATGTGAGCTTACCGAGTAGCTGGATGGAAATGAAGCTGAATGCGGTGCCAGTTAGGTTGGCAAGGCACCTGAGATGTATTAGTGTGAAAGGGAGAAAAGACATGGCTCTGCCTGCTCATTACAGACTCAAGGGTCCAGATCATTGAGGGCTGCTGCAGTCATTGTGGAGGTGGATGGTCAGCACCTTTGTGCCTTATCCTGTCACTACTGTTAAGTGACAAATAGAAAGTCCAGTAATACTTGGAGATGAAAGAGTCTGGCACAGGCTAAAAAGCAATGGCCTTTTGCAGTGGGCTGGATGTAGCACACACAGGTCACAAAAGAGTAGCCAGTGTGTGGTGCAGCCTGCTTTTCTGGAGCAATACTGTGGTGGCTTTGATATGTACTAAACAATATGTGGGGATGTA